TGCTTTGAAAAGATCGGATTTTTGTTTCTACCTCCATTTGAAATTTTTATGCACCTTTTTAGACCTCTGCAACTGCGTTAAGCTGCATTATTAGTTGTTTTAATTAAATTTATTGTCTCAAAGAAGAGTAAGTGTTTTGCCAGTTACTTTGTCAGTAACAAGTGAGCACCATATTAATGATTAAATTTTTATAATAGTTTGAATTGATGCAGTTATGTTTTGGAAGAGTTATCACCGCCTCTAAAAAGCTTACTACTCTTTGGTATTGTTTACTTGCTATTCACAAAAAATTTATATGTCTTATGGGTTTTTTAGCTTAAAACCATTTATTTTCTAGAAACGGTAGGAGGTCTGCCGACCAGTCTTAAGGTAGGGGTCGTTCTCGAAAAGGTTCAGAAGAAGGCTGCTGGTTTTTCACAAAGATGGAACTGATGGCAGAAATTGGAGTTAGGTTCTGGCCTATTCAGAGAATCATTTAAAAAACTGTTGAGTGGGGTTTGAGAAAAACAATATCTCTCTGGGTGTGGTGGTAGAATTTAGTTGCAGGTAATTTTGGACCTATACAACAGTGTTTTCTAAAGAGCAGAGTAATTATAAGATCGGGTGTGCCGGAACAATAATAGAGTAATTGACCTGAGGAAAGAGAAGATTTTTGCTTGTTTTAATTCTGACGCGAAAAAGTAATCATACCATGCATACTGCAAATGTGCAGGATTATGCTGAAACAGGTGTGCGACTCCGCATAAGTATGCATTCAGTGGAGTACTGTCGCAAGCATTTGATGACCAGTTTTTCGTAGGGGATCTTCCAGATCACTTGTCGGATTTTCTTGAATGTGGTTTTGACGGTAATATCTGCGTTAGAAACGCTTCAGAAATCCTTTGTTGTTTTCATTTTCTGATGTAACATAGCTGGCGGCAGGACAGGTATTGTGGTTTGAAAAGACAAGGATTTAGCGTAATTGAAACTACTGTAAGTACAAAAAATCTCGATTGCTGCTGGTAGCAAAAGGACTGTGGGATAGGGAAGTTATAAGATTTCTTTTCGAAAAAAGGTTCTTTGTTTTTTTTAGAGCAGGGACTTGTACAGAGAATAGTTTTTTTAACAGAAATTATCACTTGTTTCTTCTATAGCTTTTAAAGATTACATTATTGTTTCAGTTTTTCCTTGGATCTTATATGCGGTGTATACTGTTTCAAACCTAGTAAATGTGCCTGTTAATAACTGTATTGCTTAATATGCATTTGATAGAATTGGGATTTTCAGGAACCGTGGTGGCGCAGAGAGCAGGAGACTATTCACATTTGGACGAATCCTAGTTTGGCAAGAAAAGTTCTTGTTTAGGTAAATTTCTGGTTTGCGTATTTGGTACCTGGAGTTGCTGATTAAGCGGCTTTAATTTTAGGAATGGTATACGTTAAGTGCTAATGATAATCCATTTGTATTCTGGAACCTCTGCTGGTCTCTAAAACAAGGACTTTAAGATCGGAAGATTTTACCATTATTCTTTGTCGGAAAAAAAGTTTCTTACTGGATAATCTCAGCTTGAGAAAAAGAACCACGAAAAATGGATTTTTTGTAGAGTAACTAGAAGGTTTAAGCATTCTGTTCCAAATTATTACTTTGAACGAGCCATTGTTGGGATGATGTTGTGAGGTGCAGGTTTAATCAACAATGACAGGTAGGCACAAAAAAAAAAGACCATTCTTGCTAATACCTGCAACTTAGAATTTTTTGTGGCCCACTTACTGTACTTCCGCCTCATTAGTCTAATTTCATGATTTTATCGCCATTATTTAATTGTTTTTAAGAAAATCTTTTTCCTACATAAAACTGCTAGAAATTTATTTTATTTTGATTCATTCTTTCTTCTTGCTCATAAAAAGACAAGTTATTTGACCAGTGCTAAAGGATTTTGTTTGCATGGTGATGAACTGTAGAAGTTTGTCTTCATTAACAAGTTCTGATTTCTAAAGAGAACTTGAAAACTATTGTATAACCAAAAGTTTTGCAAATATTTGAGATTTCTTTTTGTTTAAGCTAATATTACGCATGTAATTTATTGACATTAAATGACGATAGAAGTGTTTACTTCCAAAAACAGTCATGACTTGAAATTTTTAAATAACATTTTCAAAATCTATTATTTGTTTATCTGTGCAATAAATATTCACATAGAATTATTAAAAACAGTAATTGTGCATCAATTTTTTTTATTTTTTGGTTTTGCTTCTCCTGTTAAAAAACAGTATGTATATTCAGATGGTGTATCTAAAATCTATTTAAAAAGTTTAGATGATATAATAAATATCATACCATCTAAACAGATTATTGATTTGTAAATTAAATGAGCAAAAAAAAAGCATAAGTACATAATGAATTTGTTGTTTGGTAAATTCCTACGTATAGCTGAAATCTCTTAAGCTTATGCAGATTTGTTTCTAGGTACTTGGTTAGATGCGTCTAGATAAAGATTTCTGAAGAGGCTGCTTCAGTGCAACAATAAAGTCTTCATCTCGGAGTGCAATTGAATGACTGAAAACAAGGTTCCTTTTCACTTTCCAATGCTTCTGCATCCGCTATGGCATTTACTGCTGTTACCAACAACTGCTGTTTGCATCCTTTTTTTTTTTTTTTTCGATCATCTGATTTGCTTTCACTTCCTTCCTTTTTGCACCAACGTTTTTCGCTGTAATTCTTTATTTTTTTTATCATTTCTTTTCCCATTGCCATTTCCACAACTAATCTTCTATCTCCTGTTTCCTCCTCACCTTATCAACTAATTGTTGTTATATTTTGAGAATACCAATGACATTTTTTCTGGGAGGACATTTCAAAAGATTATACATATACTGTTTGATGTACAGTGTTTCAACTGTTACTGTAACAGTTAAAGTTGAAAATTGGTTTATGCTAATACAGTTTTATTTATAAAGGTTTATTTTGATGAAGTGTTACAGATTTTTTGGAAAAAGTGATAATGACTGTTTAAGTAAAATAAAAGTTTCTTGCAGATACCATCAGGAAAAAATGGTTTAAAATTAGATATAAGAAAAATTAAGGCGATTTCTTTTTAAGTATATTAATTTGAGGGATTAAAATATTTACAGAACTAAAAATTTTTGTGTATTTTCAGCAAAGCATTTTCTTTCTTCATCGTCACCGTCAACGCTTTCTTTCACATCACCTTCTGCAGTCCTGCTTGAGCTTCAGCCTTTTTTTCGCTTTTGGTCTTCTGCCAATATGAAGTTTGAAAATATTTTTTTCTTGTTGTTATGGCAGTTTAACTCGGTTAGCACTATGATTTTCAAACTATGGGATAAAGCTTGGTTGTTTTTCTTCTTTTTTTAATATTTGAATTACTGTCAATATGTGCCAGTCACTACCCGATGGTATTTTTTCAAAGATGTTTTCATGTAGTCTAAAAGAAAAAAAATGGAGTAAACTAACGTAGTTTTGGTTGACAAAAATTTTGCCACTTTAATGATTTGAATAAGAAAAAGTAACGATTTATGGAAACAAAAAATATCTCAAAATTTTTTCATTTTTCACCTTCCTTTTTCTTTTTTTTTTTTCTTTTTTTTGCCATTGAAACCGAAGTAAGTGAGTTGGCTGTGTTAGGATTAATAGACTAAATTGGTTTACTTTAACATTTAGTCTCAGAGTGGGATAGTTGTCAGCAGGTGAGGAATGCAGCGATCAATTTTTGGATTTGGTTATGCAGCCGTCTTCAAATGGATTTTACTCAGCGCATACGGTATACATTTACATATTTTTTTTTCACCTAATTTATTCTTACTACTGAAAAAGATATATATATTTATATCTATATTAAATATATGTATATGTATTTGTTTACTTGTTTATTTTTATTTATTTATGAAGAGCGTTGTTTGTTTGATGTAACATGGAAAAAGGCTAAAAAAAAAAAAAATAAGTGCAAAATTTCGGGCGGAACGAAGGGGAATGGAAAGTGGCGTTAAAAACAAACATTCAGAAGGAAGGCAGAAAAGATGTGCGCTTTATTATTTTTGCTTTGGCAGTTTTATTCTTAAAATATTTTAGTTAGGTTTATTGTTCTTTTTCTTCTCCTTCGCTTCCGCCAGTTGTCTTTATTGTCGTAATTGTTATATTTTTTTTCCGTTTGAATTTGATACTTTTTATTGCTTTTCCTCCTGACTAAAAACAAAATTTTTCTCCCCTTTGAGCGAAAAAAAAAGGATGTTTCTTGGAGAAATTAGTGGAAAATGGTGGAGTGCATTATAAGGTGTGTGTTTTTTGTGAGAGCGCTGAACAGATTTGTCTGAATTACCATTTGTTGAATTTTTTTCAGAGGAGAGATACTCCTGTCGCGCGATAATTTTTTTATTATTCGATATTCAGTTACCCCAAAAAGAAGAAAAAAAATCTTTTTTGATAATCTAGTTTAATAGTCTTATTTTACTCTGTTATTTTTTTTTTGGTAAAGAATGGAGGAGCCAAGAAAAGAAAGAGGAGAATGAAGTGAACGAAGAAGAAAAAAAAATTTTTTTTTGATTTTTTAGCGGCAAAATAGTGATCAGTTTTGTTGAATCATTTGTGTTTATAGTTTTAAACTGTTCATACTGCAATTGCCAAACACTTCTCATTTCCCTTTTAGTTTTTCTTCTTTCGTCATTGACGTCTTACTTGCTTCTTTCGTCGTCGTTAATTCAGTTGAATCTGAATTATTTATCTAAATATCATAGCTTTTCAGTATTCGGTGATAGACAAAGTTGCAGTTGTTGCGATGATATGGATAACGCTTTCAATTGTGGGAAGTCAAGAGCGTAGTCAAAGTTGCTTGACAGATCAGAAAAAAAAGAGACAGAATAGAACTATGAGACTATCACACTAACTATGTATTGACTGCCTACTTCATGTTGCTTGAGAACTGGAAGTGAAAAAGAAATGGAGAGAAGAAGCTTTAAATTAGCCTCTTCTTTTTCCTGTTCTCTTGTCTTATTGTTGATTTAAGACGTTCAACTGTTTACTCGATAAGCAGCAAACTGTCTTTCGTATCTGTAGATTATTTTTAAAATCTTTGACGATCGTTGCGTTCGATTATTGCAATAATTTCTCATTCACTATTCTTGTTCTTTTTTTTTAACTATCTTTTCTTCATTTTTCACAGTGAACTAATGAAAAGTTTTAAAAAATATTCTTTGTTTTGTTTATGTCATTGATTAGCGTTTCTACTGAAACAGCTAAAATTTGTTATTTCTAAGGGGTTTTTTTTTGGTTTATTTAGTTTCAAGCTTGTTTCACTGTTTACCAGGCGAATCGTGTAACATTTTCAACAACATTATTTTCTTTTCTTTTTTCTTAATTTATTTGGCATTTTTCTCTGTGTACACTTTTTGTTTTTTGCTTTTAAGAAGCTTTTTTTTGGAGGGAAGGTGAAGTGAGGGTGGAAAAAGCAAAAAGGAAGACAAAGGAACACTGTCGAAGTTTACAACGAACACTGATACAGACATTAGAAGGAATAGTTGAAAAAATTTTGCTGTTGTTTAAGTGCACAACTTTGTTCAGTTGTCGGATTCTGGTAAGCCAAGGAAGTTTTGTGTGCATCTGAATTTTTTGGCCATACGTTTAGCTGTTTATTTTTACATGCTAAGCAACTTTTGACTAATATTTTCCACAAATTATCGGTATAGGTAGTGGAGGTTCAAAGTTCAGTTAGCGTTACATTTGATAAGGTGTTGTTGTATTGATTTTCAAAGATGGATTAGATTAGATTGATGGTGTTATTCTGCAAAGATGACTGGTATTTTGAAATGTTGCAGACGCAAGTTAATTAAGTTTATTTTTATCGTCAAACATTTTTTTTTTTGTTTCGAAGCTGAAACAATTATAGTGTTCGAAAGATTGGGATTTAATTATGGGTTTCTTTATAAAATTACAGAAACGGTTGCAGAGGATTTGAAGTATGTTGCATTCAAGGATGTTTATACGTTTCTATTTGCTTGCTGATTATAGAGTTATAAAAATGTAATTGGAAAAAACAATTTGCTTATTTTGAGCAACAAATTTTATTAATATTTTTCTTGCTAGTAAACTGTTTACTTTTTTCTGTTCTCTAAACATAGTTGTTGACTTTACACTTTTCGGTCTTCTTCGAGAAATAAGTGCTGCATCGCTTCATCGATATTACTGAAGACTGATATTTGTGGGTCATTATTTTGAAAATGA